TCTCCTATGATTCCCTATGGGCAGGTATTCCCCTATGATTCCCTATGGACAAGTATGGCTCCCCTATGGGCAAGTGCTATCATTTGTTTTAGTATGTTCTTTCACAACAACTCACTTCCTGGCCAGTGACCCTCGTGTTGGGAAGCACACTGTTAGAATATTGGACCAGGGCTGCATCCACACTGCCAAAATAAACCGAATTGTCTCTGCTTTAAGTGCCTTGGCTCAATGTTGGGGAATCCTGGGAGTCGTAGTTTGCTGTGGCACTACAGCTCTCTGACAAAGAAGGCTAAATGTCTCACAAAACTACAATTCTCAGAATTCTAGAGCATTGAGCCAGGGCAGTTAAAGCAGTCTCAAACTGGATTATTTCTGCTGGACTCCTGGTTTGCTATGGCTCAATGCTAATGGAATTCTGGGATTTCTAGTTTTGTGAGGTATTTGGCTTTCAATGTCAGATAGTTTTGGTGCCACAACAAGCTGTAATTCCCAGAATTCTATAAAGTTGAGCCATGGCAGTTAAAGCAGTGTCAGACTGGATTATTTCTGCAGTGTGAATTCTTGGAGACCAAGGTTCAAATCCTTGGTTAGCCATGGAAATCCTCTGGGGGACCTTGAGCCAGTCACACAGCCCATATGTCAACAATGATTTGAAGGCACACAACAGCAAGGTCTCATTGGAGTTACATTTGAGAAGATAGTTGTATAAAACTGTGCTGTTGTACAAGCACAACCAGAGACAGCGTGGTATAGTTGTTTGCGCCTTGGATTATGACTCTGGAGATCAGGGTTCAAATGCCCATTCAGTCGTGGAAAGCCACTGGGTGACCTCGGGTGAGTCACATTCTCTCAGCCCCAGAAAGCCCTGTAATGGGTTACCCTTTGTTGTTGTGTGCCTTGAAATCATTTCTGACTTAACGGCAATCCTAAGCAGACCTATCATGGGATTTTCTTGGCAGGATTTGTTCAGAGGGTCACCATAAATCGGAATGATTTGAAGGCACAACAGCAAAACAACAAACCAAAATATGAGGGGGTGGTTTGCCAGTTCATCTGCAGTAGATTAGCAAAATAAATCTGATTACCAGTTGTTTGACTGAGAGATTGTGATACAATGGTTGGTGATAGTAACTTGGGAATTTCAGGCTCAAGTCTCCACGCATGCAATTCACTGGAATGGTCACTATGGTCCAAAACACACTGCAGAAATCTACTGCAGAAATAATCCAGTTTGAGACCACTTTAACTGCCCTGGCTCAATGCTAAGGAATTCTGGGAAGTGTAGTTTGTGAGATATTTAGCCTTCTATGTCAGAGAGCTCTGGTGCCACAATAAACTATAGTTCCCAGGATTCCCTAGTACTAAGTCAGGACAGTTAAAGCAGTCTCGAACTGGATTATTTCTGCAGTGTGTTTTGCACCTGAATCTGTCTGACTTACCTCGCAGGGCTGTTGCCATTATAAGGCTGCAAAGAGAAGAGACAGTGTATATTGAGCTAACTGGAAGAAAGATGAAGTACCAATGTAATTATTAACTAAACAGTGACAACAAGTGAACAAGGCAACAGTACCCTGGTTCAGTGTTCCTCCTTATCTATAGTGTAGTGGTTACTTTTCATCTGGTTTGTGCAACTCTGCTGGCCCATTTTAGCCTCAGTAACCACAGTTACTGTTTTTTGGGTACCGTCAGCAAATGGTTCCACCCAGGGTGACCAGATGTCCTCCTTTTCCTGGACATGCCCTACATTCTGTCCTGGAGGAATTTGAGCATGATGAGGGAGCATGAATTTACATTTATAATAGTGTTTTTAGTTTTACTTTGAAATGTCCTATATTTTTATTTTTCTACATTTTTGCAGTGCCTTGTCCTCCTTTGGAGTTTGGACCTCTTGTCTCCCTGGCTGTACCATCTGAGCTTTTGAATCAGGATCCATCTTGAGAGCCACTGTTTTCTGCTTGGCAGACCTTGGGGTCTAATAAAAAAA